CATTGAGTAGGTTTTGCAGCAAAAGTGAAGAAAAAGAAAAAGAACCAAGTGTTCTTTAGCAGCAATGAAAGTTTAGGGCTGGGAGGTAAGTGAAAGGTGACCTTTCAGAAGACCTGCTTGAGAGATCCTTCCAGGAGCACTGATCACCGTGAAGCAGCAGTTGGCAATTGGCCCAGCAACAGAGGAGCCTGCACTCAGTCCCCCAAGCCTGCACCACATGGTCTCACTTTACTGTTGCTTCAAGTGGTGATGAAATAGCTCGAAAATCAGCATTTACCTCCCCACTTTGCAAAACAGTGTGCTCCACAGTATGGCTGCACAGCAGTGAGAACCATAAGTGACTTCTTCAGGCAATACCTGCAGTGGTATCTTGCTGATGCTAGACCTGATGCTATTTTCACCTTGCACAAAAAATTAGCTCTGCTCCACACAGCAACAATAATGGAAAAACACATATAGAGCAGAAAATTCCTAATGAGATTTAAAATCATTACTGTATTCATCTACCTTGTATAATTTGAACCTCGTTTAAACAGAAACAGCAACCAATCATTCACCCAGAGGTTATTAGATAAGTGTAGGAAATCAGATGATAATTATCTTCTACACTAATATGATCCAAAGTGTTCATAAATCTGACCTCCAAAACTGGCTTTTATTCAGACATACAGTAGAATTAATGTCTTCATTATCATACTATCAATGACGTCTGATACTGCACATGCTACCAGCTTTAATAAAATAAAATACTTAACACCATTTTTGTTTTCTCATACTTTCATTCACATACTAATAGATGTCTGATACTATTTACATTTGTCAATTAGTAAAACCATCCAGCAAAGAAGTCTGTGTTTCACGTGCCCCCTGCAGCCAGTTATTTCAGCATCGGTAATATTTACGAAAAGTCAGTTTTGCAGGTTTACATATGACTGGGTTGGCAATACAAACATGGGCCCAACAACACAACTAAAAGAGAAGCGCTACCCCTTGCCACTCACATTCATCCATCTCCTTTACCCACAAACACATGGAGAAAAACACAACCAACAAAAAACAAGTCGTTTTACAGTGTGTTTAAAAGGCTGACTAATCTCAGGTTTGGCACACCAAAGACCAGGGCGAGAACAAACACTTTCGTTTTCATGTCAGCTCCCACAACACTCAAATGGAATTGTGTAAGGAGATTTTTCCCTCCTTTGCTTCTAATAAATGGGTGTTGTGTTTACATGCTGCATACTGAGCATTGCCCATCCGAAGCCAAGGGCTGTATCTTGCCAACTCTTAACTTTCATACAATATGGTGATTACATGAGCCAGCATACCATTAAATCACATAACAAAACTTGGAGAATAGCACTGTCAGCTTGCAGAGCCGTACCTGAAGGACTGACATGCAGTGCATAAAGGGAAAAAACAGATCTCAGTGCAATGGCAAAACTGGGTCAGGAGAAGACTGGGTTACTGGCCTCACTTTAAACGACAAAGCCACGTGCTAAATAGTTCACAGAGATAAAAACTTGCAGGCGGATAATAAAAGCAAAGAAATCAATAAAAATATCACTAAACAGTCCTTAAAAAATGCTCCCCCACCCCTAAATCTTTCAAGGTCATCTGTTGTTTATTCTCCATACCACTCTTTATTCCAGGATGTTCTTTCCAGCTGCAGTACTTACAAACTGGCTTCCCGTGAGCAGAGTCAAAACCAGGGGAACAGAGACCTTAGTCCATTGCCTAATATGAATAGCACAGCATCTTTCTGGCTACAGCAAATTCTCTTTTTCTATTCAATGAGCATCAGATCTATACCTGCCATGAGCTCCAAATATCTTCCAGTTACTAGTGTTAATTTTTTTGCAGAATGAGCAAGAAAGACTGATCAGAAGTCACTATTTCACCTAAAATCAAGCTCACACCAAGGTATCAGGTATCTGATTTGCATCTCTGATTTAGCCTGCTGATAGGAGAGTAGAAGTGCCAATTTAAGTACTAATTCTTTTTCCAGGTACCGATCCACAATAATTTCTACAGAGGCTTCCACTTTAGTGACCCAAACATACAGATAGGACAACCTAAGATAGTAATTTAACTGCCAACAATAATGCACACGATCAGAGGTAGAAAGCTCTGCTGAAATCTAAGACACTTTCAATACTGAGGTTTCTAAGAGGATGTGCATCTAACTTACTGCAGGAGATCAAGTGCCTGAACCATGTATCTGTGATACCTTATCAGCCTTCCGAGCTACCCTACAGGTGACCCCTCTTTGCAACATATTTCTTAGTAACTTAATCCTATTTAGGTTGTCTTCAAATCACACAAAGAGCAAGCAAATCAGAAAACTGCTACATGTATTTGCAAGATCATATCACACTGGCATCACTAACCCTGTTTTATTCAAATTGTAAAAGGCTGTCCAGACATCAGTGATATTTTATTTGTTGTCATATTAGCATGCAAAAGGACATAAACTCACTTCTGATAATAGTTTTAATTACTAAGTAGTTAAGCCTACAAATCCTCTCATCCAAGTAATCCTTCAATAAGATTAATTCATGAAAATAGCCTCATTGAAAAAGGATTTGTATGACTGAACCCTAAATGCTTAATCACTTCTTTAAGGAAATCATGACTTACAAAGAAAAATCCAGGTGTTGGTATGTTTAAAACAGGGGGGGTTATGTGTCCATCAAAGCACGGAGTTTCATAAACATCACTTCTAGGACTGACACTGTTGGGGAATGTGCTCCTGCAGTTCCTGTGGTTTCTCAGGTTAAGATTGATTTAAATAAACAGACCAACTTGCTCACATTGAGTCTAGCACTCAACAGGACTCTTCTTTCAGCACTTTCGTTGTACTGACGTATGACTCAGCTACTCCTTCAGCTGCACTACTTATATATTATCACTGTGCAACATCATCTCAAAGATCAAAATCCATGATTTATTTTAAACAATATCCGGGCATAACCAAGTGTTTGCAAGGCTCAGCGAGTGTGTGGTTCTTGCTTTCTGTACTATGTCTATTGCAGAATATTTTATTGTAAGAAATATTAACCTTTTTCCCAGTTTTCTGATCTTGTTCTTTCCATTACAACAGTTACCAGTCTAGACAATGACTGAAGTAGCCATAGAGAGCATATAGATTAAGATTTACTTTGTAATGCGTCAAGTGCCCTCATGTGCTTAAGTTCTCTTCCTTGTACCCACTTCACTTGCTCGCTCTCTTTGCACAGGGCCTTCATGGTATTAATGGCAAGCCTTCTTGAAGTATGTCCTGCTCTGATCCCCTTGGAATGATTAATGGTTTGGTATCACATTTGTTTGCTACTCCTTAAAATACAGGAAACAACCCTTTGGAGAACTAGGAGTCTGTCAGTGCCTCCAAAAAGCAGAAAGCATAACTGCTTGAAGGCTGACAGATGCTTCACCACCATGACAAGAAGCTGTTCCACAGGCTACAGCTTGTGAGCCCCTGAGTCAAGCCATATGGTCCTGAATGCCAAGACTGCCTGTCTTTCCCAGTTTACTGGGAGAGATGGATTGTTCCTGCTTTGCTCTGAATTTGCAAAAGTAGTCTGTTGATTTTTATAAGTTTACAGTTCAAATGTAATAAATGCTTCACTGCTTCCACTCATAAATCTTCATTCGTAAACACATAAACATGGCTCTCAGACTTTAAGAGACCCTTCACAATTAATAATCTATTCAGTACATTTAAGGAATTGTGTATACAGGGTCTCAAACATCTTTGTTCAAGGCATCTATAGTAATCTAATGTGAATAACAGCAATGGATACACATTGCTAAAATTCAGAGCTGAAAACTTAAGATAAAACCCCAGTGTACTTCAGAATCACAAAAATTAAGTCTCCAAGTTTTAAGTTCTTAAACATGGGTACATTCTCCAGTGCTTCGGTCAGGTGAGATTTAAATATTTCAGAATGTGAGTATTTCTAATTCCTCTCGTCTCTTGAAAAATTATTTAACTACCCAAAATGCTTTGGTAAGATCTTTTTTTAAAATATGTTTTATGTCTTTTCCAGTGACTTCTCAAGTGTCTTCACTGGTGTGTAGGTGACCCAGCAATTGCCAAGAAACAGACGAGGGCATAAAGTATCTCGCTTCTAACGCAGCAATGTAGGAGGAGGGAAAAGCCCCCAGCGCAGAGGCAGCGGTGTGCGTGTTCACGCATTGTTCTCTCCCGGAGCAGTCCTGGCTCTCGCTGGGGTCTGCCCGGATTGAGGCTATCGGCACCTTGCGAAGTCCAGCCTTTAACTTTCTCCCGTTAGAGTTTCCTTGAGCCACTTCTTGTTACAATTTTCCACTCATGTCTGTCCCTTGCTTCCTTCTAAAAAACGCACAGCATAGTGTCTGAAATCTCTACAGAACCTGCAGAGATAATGGCACGGGCCCCCGCAGCGGCACTGAGCGGCACTTCCCGGAGGGATGCGGGAGGACGAAGGGCGAAATGCCGGGGTTCCCACAGCACCCGCCCGGCGCCGCACGCGGGAGCGGCGTGCGGGGAGACACCGGGAACGCAGCCACTGCACTGCTGCCCCCGATTATTTCATGTTCTCGCACTCGTCAGGGAAACACAGACAACTGATTTACTACGGCAATTTTTCCCAGTGCCTTCCGAGATCTCCCAAGGCTCGGCCGCTAGTCCGGCCGTTTGCTGCAACTTTTCCACGGGCTGCGGAACGCCGAGGGCAAGACCGGGCGGTATTTTTTTTCTCTCCCCCTCACCTCGCTCCCCCAACCCGTTCCCCGGCGGCAGCGGCTCCCATCCCCCGGCGGGTCCCCCCCCGCCGCCTCTCGGACAGCCTGGGAGCCGCCGCCCCCGCGGACGCGCACTGCCCGCCCGGCGGCTGCCCCGGCCCGCGCCCCCGCCGCGCCCGCCGCCCCAGCCCCGGTCCCGGCCCCGCGCCGCCGGGAGCCGCGGGGCAGCCCCGCCCGCGGGCAGGTGGGTGCCCCCGCCGCCGCCGGGCCGCACTCACTTGTGCCTTCTTCATAAGGAACGGCAGCGCTGCAGTCCAGCCCAGCCGGCCGTGTGCAAACTCCCTTCAGCGGAACTGTAGCTCCAGCATAATGCAGCAGCCGATAGTCCACGCATTGGGGTTGCCCACGGCGAGCCCCGCGCTGCCTCCGCCCGTCCCGCCGCCGCTCCGCGCGCCCCGCTGCGCCCCCTCCCCACGGCCTGAGCGTCCGCGCTCACTGAAGCCACCGCCGGCCCCCGGCCAGGTCTTTTATATCTCCGATCTGCCTCCAACCGCGGCGGCGGCGGCAGCCCAGGCAGGACACGCCTTTCCCCTCCCTCCCGCCCTCCCGGAGGACCGGGAGCCCAGGCAGACCCTGCGGGGCGGGGGAAACCCGAGTTAACTCGGGGCAAGTTGGAGGCAGGAACAAGCCGAGCCTGCCCCTCGCCAGCGCCGGAGGGGAGCGGGGCCGCGGGCGGGCGGGGATGCGGAGGGGGTGTGGGCATGCGGGGCGGGGGGCGCTGGGTACCGGCCCCGGGGCTGGGTGCAGAGGGCTCCTCCCGGCCGGTGCCGGGGCGTCCGCGGTGCCCGGACAGGCGATCCCAGCCGACCGCGGGGAGCGGGGCGGGGGTCGCCGGCCCTGCCCGAGTGAGCTCCTGCAGCGTGCAGGGAAGCCGCACGCCGCCGCGGCATTTGAGGTCAGCCGGGCTGCGGGCGCCGAGCCCAGTCCTTGGGTTGGGTCCCCCCACCCTCGCTGGGGAAAAGGGGGGTGCCCCCCGGCTGAACCCGCCGCCGGGCGCCGGCTCGGCCCGCGGCGGGGAGGGCAGCGGGCTCGGAGGCTGGCGGGGCTCCCAGCCGGTGCCCGGTGCTCCCAGCGGAGCAGCCGCTGCTGCGGCGCGCACGGCCGAGGTGGCAGCCCTGGGCTTGTCATTGCCATTCCGGGGCTGCTTTCCCATACTCGGTGAATGCAAGTTAAGCACTGGGATAAGCATTTCAGCTGGAGCTTAGAAACTCCTGTAACCTGCTCCAGACACAGAAAAAATTGTTGAGCAGTGCCTCCTAACGCTTCTTCAAAGGTGATCCTGCGGGTCTTTTTACATGCTGTTACAATTTGCATCATCCCGTGTAAATAATGCATTAGTGTTGGGTGTGGAAAAGCGACTTGACTTACTGCTTGGAGTCTTCTGGCCAATCCATCACAGCAGTAGCCACAGAATTTTAGTCCTCTTTAGAGAACGCAGCTCCCAAGGTTAATACGAATTAAATTTTGGGTGTGAATTAAATGGAATGCAGAGCGGTTTATGGAACTAGTATCTCCTGAAACAGCCATACCAGGTGGAAATTTAAAGAACATTAAAGTGAAGGAAGAATAGTCTGACCCAGTCAATGGTCATTTCCTAAAGGAGATTAGGCATGATCAGAGTGTACAATAAGAGATTTCATTAGAAAGTCAGTCTAATATTTGCCTGGAATTAATGATAAGTTTTTGTAAAGTCTTGATTTCAGCCAAAGTAAAGGTGAGCTGTTCAGGTACAGAAAGGTTTTGAACTCATCCCCAACTTTGCTATATATTTGGATAAACATCTAATATAATTTTGCAGATAAAAATCTAATATCATTTTGCTTCTGCATCAAATACAGGAAAATGGGTCAATAATTTTCTTTTACAGCATGACAATACTGATGGATTCATTCCCTTTTTGTCAGTTTTTTTTTGCATTTCATGATTGTTACTGAGCTGAATTTGTCAGACTTGTATATGCATATAGAAATAGTCTCTTCCTTTAAAGCAATAGGTAAGCAGTGAAAGGGAGGAAGCCTGTAACAACAAAAGAAATCAAGGACCTCAGTCACTGAAAGGGCGGTTTGTGTATCATCTAGCCGTGATCAACCAAATCACTTTCACTGTCTACACATTTAACTAAATAGGGCCAGGAAATTAAAATTTTATGGCATATTTTCTCCTTAGAACAGATGACCAGTTTAGTCTCCTGCAGAGAAGGCCTGGAAAGTGTGAAAGAGCAGTCTCTCGCAGCAGTTACCAGCCTTATGGAAAACGCTTCTGGTCTTTCTCTGTGTTGAACTCTATCACAGTTCACCATTAGTCATGACAGGAAAAATTTTGTGGATGCCCTGTATCCAGTTGCATTATTGGTAACTGTGCAGAGTGAATAACACTCTTGGGCATAATTAAGTTTCTTTACCACCCTGGCACCATGCACCTTTTCTCTCCTTTCCCAATCTGACTATTTGAACCTGCCCTTGTGTTTAATCCCAACTATAGTGAAGTAGTGCCCTTTTCATCTCTTTCTTTTGTGTTTGCAATTTTCAAGTGTATTACTGCTAACACTGTCTGTTCTCAGTTTGGTTTGGGAAGACTCTTCTATGAAGTTCAGAATTTAATAGTTTAAACTCATTAATATCTTGTGTCTGTATCCCATAGGTAAGCATGTTTTTATTAGTCTTGCCCGTTTCCAACATAGTACCAACTTTTGATTTCCCAGGGGTGAGAAGTGATTAGCCGTAGACTGGTTAGTACATTGACTGGTAGCTTTCCAAAGCCAACTGCAAACCACATTTAGTCTTCTATGGCCTACCTTATTTGCATTTCTTAATGCTTGGGGGTGCACACAGGCCCTGTCATAGTTTTGTGCAAACCTGTTCCTTCACAGGGAAGATATGGAAAACAGTGCTAGTTATCCCAGCTCTTCACAGGATTTAGTTCCACCCATTCAGCAGGATTGTCCTCACCAGGAACACTGTTCGACCTGTATGGAAATACCAGCAACTGAAAATTAAGCCTTTCCAGTCTAACATGAATGGAAAAGCCTCACCATCTTTACCAGCTGAGAAATGGCTGTTAAATGGCTCTTAAAATGTTTTTTTATTCTGTAATTTTATGGAATATCTGCTGTGCTTTCCATAGCTTCAGCTCTGCACTCATTCTGTTGCTAGCTTGGCTGCTGGCTGGAACAGCTGGAATTTGGGAATATGCAGGATGACATCCAGCCTCGGCCGCTGAGATTGCTGGATTAAAAAGTGTTCTGTGTCAACTTGGAAAATTGAAAAAATTTCTCCTATGAAACCATTTAAGCTGTGGAGGCAAACACCAGTGTGTGAGTATTAGAAAGACAGCACACTAATCCCGTCTAATCGGTTACAGACTGAGCATGTGGGCGCTTTGCTGTCACAAAGACCTGGCCTGTAGCATCAGCTCAGTTAAATCCCCTCTCACCAGTCTTAATTTTAAGGACAGAGTACTAAGTACACACATTCCTAACCTACTTCAGACACACAGAATTGAAAAAATTATATTTAAAATTGAGGTATGTAGAGCCAAGAAACTCAAAAGATGGCCTCAAACTTCTTTAGGTTTTATTTACAGGAGTATGTGATTGTAGTGGAATGACTTTCTACAGAAAAGACAAACCTTGCAAGATTTACAGAAAGTTACATTAATTTCTTTGACACTGAGGAAATACATTGGGATAACTATCTCCCTAAGCAGTCTTTTATCTTTGATACCACAAAAAGTTCTAGGTGTTATTCTGTGATTGTGAACTTGTACATTCTAATTTCAGAGCACAACCAAAACCAATATTTAATATTCTGTCAAAGCACATATTTTGAATTTTTAATTGAGCCTTATGTTCAACTTTACCAAAGGGACTGTTAGTTTATTCTAAGCATCGTACATCTTTTGTGCTCTATACAAGTGGCAGGGAACTTCTGCTGATATTCAATATCACTGGTCAGTAATTGAACAAATGACTCAATCAATACTCACTCCACAGGGACGTGCACACCACCATAGAGCCACTTTTTATCTCACTGAGCACCATAAGAGCACAGGATTCAGGTGTACTTTTTTCACTCACATGACCTGCCTCTAAAGATTGATTTACAAGAAGTGGTTTCCATGCAACTGATTCTTCATAATATATTAATGCAGACTCAGATTTTAAGGATAATTAAGTTATTATATGGTAAAATCATAGTTCATTTGGCAGAGTGGTTGGTAGATAGCTGTAAGGTCTTAAAGAGCACAGTTGCCTGTCTCAAACACTGTTAGGGCCACAGGAGGACTTTGCCATGAGATAAGCACAGAGCGAAACAACAGGATGGCACTGACTCCAGGCCTGGTGGAGATGAGATCCTGGTTAATGCATCCGGACAAAAATTCCCTCTGTGGAAAACTGTGTAAAGAGGCAACTTCTCATACACATATCACTGGCCAAACAAAGATCACCCCAAGTTATGGGACAGATGGCATCTCTGACCACCAACAGCCACTGAAACCCCCCTGAATATGCCTTTGTGGATGCTTGGAATTTAGACTGTAAATTAAGCCACCACAGGAAACTAGAGATAAGAAAAAGATGAGTTTATCTCAGACCTAGGGGGAGCTTAACAGGCTGGGGGAGAAGAATCTATCACTGATAATGGTCGTAAAGAATGCGGAACTTACAGACCACAAGGAAAGCCAACTCAGCAGCTGTGCTGAAATCAGCTCAGACTGGGTAAAAGTTAATTTTGGCAGGGGGAGGTAGCAATCACTGACTCACAGCCCATCAACCCAAGAAACCCACTTACTCAGAAAAAAAGACTGAGCACAGGACTAAACAACTGTAGAAGTGAGGAAATAATTTAACCAATAGAATGAGAGAATTTTGTAGCCAACGAGTATTCCTTTGTTTGTTAAAACATACAAATAGTGAAGTTTTGAATGACCTCAGAACTCTCTCCACAGAGAAGCCCAGGGTGAAGAAGGACAAACAGAAACACTCATTGGATCCATGGGTGGTGACTGTTTTCTGCTTGAACTGTCTCTCTCTTCTCCCACCCCATGCCTCTTTTCTGTTTCTTTCCATCTCTCTAATTTACGTTCATTGATAAATCAAATCTGTGTTAATGACTTTGGCATGTTTGTACCTTAATTCAGGCAGGGACATCTCTCACCAATCAGATCTTAACACCAGCTGAGGGAAAATGCAATATTCTGGATGAACAGAGATATCTCAAAAGGAAAAAAAAAATTGATTGAAATTCAATTATTTATTATAATGACAGAATTTGTAGCTCAGTATCTCATTACGATGCTTCTCCAAAACCCATCTAAATGGAAAAAGGAGA